CGCTTTTTCTCTACTGAAATTTAGATTTCTGGGTTTACCGGAGATGGGTTTGTGTCTCTGTGCATTTTCCGGTGATGGGTTATGAGAAAGAGTTTTCCTTTTGTTTGCTCTGTGTAGGTGGATCGTTTAATTGGGTTAAAGATTTGATTTTTAGTTTAAGTCAAAGCTTGTGATGGCGAAGAAGGAGAGACCTAGACCTGAAAAGTTGTCTGTTTATCTTTATATACCTAATATTGTTGGTGGGTCTTTCGATATCTGAGTTAAATTTCTTTTTTTTTTTAAGCGATTGTTTGTTGTTGTGATGGTTATTGATTGATTGCTTTTAGGGTATATTAGAGTTCTCTTGAACTGTGTTGCCTTTGCTGTGTGTTTCTCCAACAAGACACTTTTCTCTCTGCTCTATTTCTTCAGGTTAGTGAGGCTTCTCTTTGATTTTTTTAGTAAAAGATTTATCTTTCATGTTTTGGGTTAATGGGTGTAATAGTCTTTTCTTTGATCAATGTGTCTCTCCAGCTTTTGTTGTGATGCTGTAGATGGCTGGTGCGCTCGTAGATTCAACCAAGGTCTAAGAACTTCTCTCTTGTTAATAGTTATAAACTATCTCTGTCTTGTGTTTTTAGAAATCACCTTTTCATTTCATATGATTGCTCGAAAGATCTTACCACTGATCAAGATTGGAACTGTATGTTGCTAGCAGCTAGTTTCAATGTAATAGAACTTTTTTTTTATTGCAGTGACTTTGTTGTGATTCTATAATATGTAGGAAGCTAGAACTTGACTGGCTTCTCTTTCTTTCTTCCTTAGTTTCAACTTTTGGAGCTGTTCTCGACATGGTGACTGATAGGTGAATCTTTTTTCACATATGTGTGACTGAGGATTAGCTTTGTTATCTGTTTAATGAACTCTTACATTTGTTTTGGTGGTCATTTTGGGAATATGCTTTGTTATAGAGTTAGCACGGCCTGTCTACTCGTTATTCTCTCTCAAGTCTACAGGTGAGAGTATTTCTATGTTTTCTTTTTTCCCTCTCATCTCTCGAGTTGGAGTAGACTGATTTCTAACTTATTGAATGCATTTTTTGTCCTTTTCTTTCATCTTTAAATAGGCCTAGCTTGGTCTTCCTTTCATTGCTGGCTTTAGATATTGCTAGTCATTGGCTGCAGATGTACAGGTACGCTAATTTACTCTTTTCTTGTTGCACCGTGAAATCTTCTCTACGCTCTTTAAATCTCAAGTTTTTAACCCGGAACTTTGATACTCTACTCGCAGTACGTTTCTAGCAGGGAAGAGCAGCCATAAGGATGTCAAAGACAGCACAAGCTGGCTTTTCAGACTCTACTATGGAAACCGGATATTTATGTGTTATTGTTGTGTTTCTTGCGAGGTGATTTGACTAAACCAGACTCTTTGTTTCCGTTATAATCCCTTAAGATGATGTCTTCTTAAACGAAAATCTTTTCAAACGTGCAGGTTCTATATATCATACTTCTTCTCATTGCAAAGAACCAAACCCAGAACCTCCTAAATGTTAGTTCCTCCTTTCATTTCATTTAGTTTAGCTCTCACTTCCTAATCAACTACTAACGGTGGCTCTCGTTGCAGGTCGTAGTTGCCACTTTAACGCAGATTTCACCACTCTCTTTTCTTCTGGCTTTGACATTGTTCGGTTGGTCGATGAAACAGACCGTCAATATCATTCAGGTAAAAGCCAACTTTTTTTTTTTGCGAAACTTGCCACTAATCCCTAAAGTTTTTTTGGTTTCTAATTAAAAACTGCGGATTTTTTCAGATGAAAACCGCTGCAGATGTTTGTGTACTGTATGATATAGAGAAGCAGCAAAAGCCTTGATGTTCCTCTTTTTTCTGAATCTGCAACTCTTTTTACACTTTTTGTGTGCACAATGATTCAGTTTCTTTCCCTGTAGATGTAGATAATATTTTTAATGAGATGAAGAATATTGCTTTGCCTTTTCATTGACATGATTTTGTCTG